TGTTGATCAGGGATGAAGATGGGATCTTGCACATGTGCTCCTTGCCTCTCCTCCCTGACCACGCTTGGCTGCAAATTGTCAACTCTTGGTCCCAAAGGCACATTATTAGGGAAAGTTAAAGGAGTCTTTCCCCTATCTGTTCGGTTGAACGTCGTGGCGCTTGGAAGTGTGCTGTCAACGTATGATGGCCCTGCGAAATTTGCTTGCATTATTGGTGGGGATATCCCTGGTGGCGTCTGAGTGGGTTGAAGAGTAACCCTTGATAAAGCTTGGTCTAACATGTTCTGCATCAGATTTTGTTGCTCGCGCAACATATTTTGCATCGCCGAAGTTTGTTGATTGTTCAATTGTTGAACATAACCCAACCAATCAGTAGGTGGTTGGGGAATCTCCCCTGGATTTGGCATGACGGGTGTTGAAATATTTTCTCCCGCCGGTGCTGATGATGATTGAGGATGTGAGCCTGCCATATTGATTTTTCTGATGATTCGGCCAGACCTCAGTCGTACGAAATTCTCTGTTGATGTAGGATCAGAAATCTTGTCTTTCTCCCACTGTGGTCGCCAATTTATTGAATTTGATATATTTAGCGTCTGAGATTAGAAATCTCTAAACACTGTACGGTACAGAAAATTTATTGGAAATTAAAATACTGGAAATTTAAATGATGATCCCCGAATCTCTTGACTTTGATGTCGTTTGAAGATGATTAAAGATCCTCTATCAGTTGCAAGTCCCAATCCTAAATACTCTTCAGAAACGGTACTGGAAACCGTCGTCCGGACGGTTACAACGCCTTTTTTCAACCGTCTGCTAACTCTCCTTCTGCTGACACGTGCCCTCAGCCGACCAAACTATTACTCTCACTCGCTCTCAACAGTATCCGACTTCCACACTAACCGATTTGCCTATCCAACCACAAATCTTCCGACTTCTTGGACCGACCGCAGGCCTTCCACCCTGTTGGTCCGACCGCAAACCTTCCGTCTTTTTGGACCGACCGCAAACCTTACGCCCTGTTGGTCCAGCCGCAAACCTCCCGACTTGCAAACCACCCGACTTATTGGTCCAGCCGCAAACCTCCCGACTTACAGACCACCCGTCTTATTGGTCCAGCCGCAAACCTCCCGACTTACAGACCACCCGTCTTATTGGTCCAGCCGCAAACCTCCCGACTTACAGACTATCCAACTTGTACATCGTCCGACTCACTGAAAAACCGACCTGCGGACCTTCTGACCTGCGGACTTTCCGACCTGCGGACTTTCCGATCTATGGACCTTCCGACCTACGGACCTTCCGACCTGCGGACTTTCATATATGCGGGCTTTCCGATCTACGGACTTTCCGACCTGCGGACATTCCGACCTGCGGACCTTCCGACCTGCGGACTTTCAGATCTGCGGACTTTCCGACCTGCTATTTCTTTAAAAATACGTCTATTTCACCTGATTTTCCCGCAATGCCCCTCAATCAGCTTGACCAACTCAATTGTAGGCCCATGTTTCCTTTTAACTTGGGCTTTTTAACATAATTCTAAATTTCATACGTAACAATTTTATAAGAACTTGATTTAATTTTTAAAAATCTTCTGTATACTTAAATCCATCATCTAAATTTATTTTTACTTTTATTTTTTGATTGTCATATAAAATTATTTTTCGTTGTTTTTAGTAAAAAGATATTATTCCCTCCGTCCCGCCACAATTGGTAATATTTTCATTTTTGTTTGTCCCGTATCAATTGACACATTTCTATTTTTGGTAAAAATTATTAAATCAAAATATATTTAACAAATATAAATCAACTTAATTAACTATATAATATACATCATGAATGACGTAGGACCACTCAAAACTCTTTTATTTCTATCCCTCTCCTAAAAAAAATAAATATTTTAATATATATTTAAAACTACACATCTTTTATAAAATTTATTTATATTAATTATAAATAAACAATTTTTTTTTATTTACTTATATTATAAAAAAAATTATTCTCTACAAAATGATATTCATATTGCATATATTTTTTAATTGCATGCTATATAATTTTTAAATATTTAAATATATATTTTCATTTTTTTAATCATATATATTAAATTTACTTTAAAATTATAAATATTATTAATTACATAAAAAATAATATCATAATATCACAACTCATTATTATTAACTAATTAAATATTTTTCCCTTAAATATTGTGTTCCTAATCAAAGGATTCAATTCGGATGGGACGGAGAGAGTATCATTTTCTATTTTTTCTTTACCCTAAAAAAAAGTATTTTTTTCCATTTTTCTTAAAATCGATGCCCGGTCAATTGGATGACGGAGAAAATATATTTTAACGTAAAATTAAAAATATTATGGCATACTAGACTGCATAGTTTAAGAGTTTTTTACCGTGCAGATCCTCTAGAAGATAGTTTGCATAAAATAGTTTACTCTCCACCGGAGCCGAAAACAGTTGACTCTCCACTGGAGTTGAAACAGATAGATCGCAAACATCAAACAAATCGCACGCAGGCAACAAACAAGCAGCGGACAGATGACAGATCGCACGCAGGCAACGGACAAACAACGGATAAATGGTAAATAGCAAATATATTTCAAATTGGTGTGAGAGAAGTAGACTTTGAGTCGAAGTTGAACGTAAACAGGTGTAACGTGTCCGGAAGCTGACACGCCTGGCGCTGAGGCCCAGACCAGCCGTCCCCTGTGCGCAACACGCCCGGGAAATACCATACAATATGGAAGAATAATGCGGAACACGTACCTATACCAAGACATATGCCGTCAATTAGCCGTATAGGACAAGGGGCTCACAAACATAGGACGGACTATGGCTGAGAACTTGGGGCGGGAATGTCAACCCGTGACAATACTCACCCACTTCAAGATGTAAACGCCCTCGTGCGACGCTACTTAAGTGCACCGACGTTGTTTCTTGCACCTTTAGTATACCTTCGGCGTCACTCTGTTGACCCTTTTCTGCATACCTACATTCTTTGTGCTCACTGGGTTTTCCCATAGCCAACCATATGCAACCCACGTTCCGCCGCGCGACTCTGCACACCATCTGGGACATCCTTTGTTGCAATTTGTGTATTTTTCGCCCGAAAATTGTCCTTAACGTGGTTTTTCCCTCACGAATAAAGCTCAACCGCCTTGGCCCACCAGCAACGTCAAGCGTACTCCCCCACCCTAGGAGCACTCCCTATTTGGAATGTCCAGTTCCCTTAGGACATTCTCTTCCTTGATGTGCCACAAGCATGCACTTCGAGCAATGCCCTACTTGTTCGCTTCGTTCGCGCGTCAAGGTCCGCTCTGATACCATATGTAACGTGTCCGGAAGCTGACGCGCCCGACGCCTAGGCTACACCCGCACTGAGGCCCAGATCAGTCATCCCCTGTGCGCAATACGCCCGGGATATACCATACAGTATAAAAGAATAATGCAGAATACATACTTGCACCAAGACATATATTGTCAATCAGCCGTACATGACAAGAGGCTCGCACACATGAGACGATCTATGGCCGAAAACATGGAGTAGAAATGTCAACCCGTGACACAGGACTCTGAATGAAATCAGAGTCAGATGGAAACAGATTGCACACAAAAATGATCGCAGACAAATCACAAACAACAAAGAGATCGCAAACATCAGACGGATTGCACAACATATCGCAGACACCGGACAGATTGCACAACATATCGCAAACATTGCATGATCTCAAAATCAAAAAACCTCCGGGTACAATCTAGGTTGAATGTATATGAAAAAACGCGAGTTGGTAGGCTATACTTACAGCATTAGAAAAATAGGCTCTGATACTATGTTACAATTTGGGGAGAAAATATGAAATTGTATTATTATTTGTAATGAAAATAGAGATCTATAAATAGACATAATATACCTACTCAATATATCAAATCTAAATTTATTAAATATAAAATTGAATATCTATAATATTTCAACATCTCCTAGTTGAATATAGACGCAAAAAAATATAAATAAAAATAACAGTTGACTCTCCACCGGAGCCAAAAACAATTGATTCTCCACCAGAACCGAAAACAATTGATTCTCCACCAGAACCGAAAATAACATGACTCTCCACCGACAACTAGGGTAATTATGGACTACGTCTGCAATTTTTTTTAGTTTAAAATAAAAAATAAAATATGTTAAAACATTCGGTTGTGCATAATTGCATAAAATTGGCTGTCTTATTATTTTAATAACTATTACTTAATAAAATATATATAATATTTATATTATTTTATAAAGAATAAAATTTTATATAATATAAAAAAAATTATAAATATTTATTTAAAATTAACGTAATTTAATATTCAAATTACACCATTATTAAATTTATAAATTTAATTTAATTTATATTTATATCAATATATTTTTTTTACCTATCAAATCAAATTCCTTTAAACTCAAACCAAATCTATAATCCTCACTGAACACAAAATCTCAAACTCCATTTTAAAATTCAAATCCACCAAACCTTAGTAAAAAAAGACACACCCTATATAAACATTAAATCCAATATTTATTTTTCTTATAAAACACTACAGTTGTGTTATTCTGTGAATTTATCAAGCTGTTTTTACTATTCAGATTTTTTTTTCCTCCAAATATATTAAATCAAATAATTACTTTTTTTTTATATTATACTAAAAAATTATTTTATTCAAAATTTCACATTAATAATATATTACATCAACCAACTATTCAAATTCAACTTTTTATTATTCATAAATCCAAACCCAAAAACCCAAACCCAAAAACAAACACACCATTTCACAACCATTTTAGCTTGAAAACATCAAAATCCAAAACATAAATACAAACAGTATACCACAAGAACACAACCAAAATCCAAAAGTATTTCAACACAAATTGACCAAAACCACATATTCCCTATTGATGGCTTAAACAAGTATACATTAACAGTGCAATTTATGCAAATACGTTGCCTGATTGGTCTAATAAGCAAGTACAAATTTTATTTCATTTAGGTAGGTTAAGGTAGCAAGATATGATGATATTACACGGAAACAAAATCATCAAGGTAAGGCATGCCATGCCCATGTAATGTGAAATAATAAACCGGTGTCCAGCTGGCTCATATCAGCCAACAGTGATTCGGTTTGACCCCTACAACTTATCAAGCAAACCTTGTAATTATTTTTAAGAACACTGAAGCATGTCCATGCGATAAACCCCCCGTCACAATGTTTTGGCCTTCTGCTGCGCCGGAAGCAACTGCCCAACAAAATTACCGTCAACAACAGCATAGAAACATTGATGATCTCCCCACAATTATAATACGACTAAATCCAAGCTGCTCGACTAGAAATCATACACTCAAATCTTAAAAATGAAAGCTCGAGTTCTAATCAACTAAAGATTAACATTGTTATTTCTGATGTTCCTTCTTTATGTAAAAGAATCCCTTGAGAAATAAATAATTAAAAGTAAAATATAAATGAAACCCCTTTGGGGAAAAGTTTTACAATTTAACCAGAAATAGGCTTCGAGGTTTTTAGACAATGCAATTTACCCGTGGAGTGTTACTTGTATATTTATTGTTTCATAAATATTATAAGGATCGTGTTTTACTTAGGATGATTAGATTGAATAATATATTTTTTTATCCAACTTAATCACTTGTTTACCTCAATTGATTTAAACTAGACATCGATAAATCCGCCATAGTAATACACTGATAAGTAATATTTGTACTAAAGTTTGTATTATCTTATATTTAATCTAGTAAAGTAAAATAAATATGACATTTAGTTAATCTTATAATTATATAATCTATAGAAATAATATTAAGAATTATAATTTCATCCTATAAAGTAAATACACTCCAAAAGAGTACATAAGATTGAGAAAAGCTGCCATAAATGAATGAGGGAGTGAGACCTGGTAGCAGGAGATGAGGGAGCTTGCGAATCCAAAAGCACCGGTTACACGGGGAGTAACTTTCTTGGGTGAAAGTTGAAGCAACCCGACAGCAACAACTATGTCCAATCCGGCTTTCACTAAGGCAAGTGATCTCTCGTTAGATTTTTTAAGTTTACTGCGATATTGATCGTTCTGAAAGGACACACAGAAGAATAAGTAAGAAAATGTCATTGAAATTTCACTAGAACATGCACCAAGTTATAGAAACAGACCTTGTACTTGTTGGTATTCTTGAGCTCCTTCTCTAACTTCTTCATCGATCCGGAAAGTCTCCCAATTTCACCAATCTAAATTCATCATCCATGGAAAGCAACAGTCTTTAAGAAATGGCGAAATTATTCTTTTAGTCCTATTAAGCGTATTGGTTTTGATTTTAGAACCATAATACAAAAAGTTTCAATGATAAACACATAATTTCCAGTTGCTTGCAATAATCACATGATAAAGCATTACTAAAAAATTGACATTGAAACTCAGATCTTGTTGAACTAAGATCAAAATAACTACTTCTCGTGGTACTAAACACGAAATTTTCCTATCAATGGCACTATAGAATCCAAAAAAGTGAAATACCTCGACCAGTGTGGTGCAGATGGAAGAACCCAACCAACAAAACAGAGATATTCTTCCTAACAGTTCAGTGCGTTCTTTGTTCTGTACAAGGAAACTGAATTACTTATCCGTAGAAAAAGAGAACTTGCAAGACTCTGAAGTGAAATAGAAAAATTAAAAAACATACCTTGTATATGCCTGTCCGGCCTAGCCATACAATTTGATCTAGAAACAAGAAAGTTGACAAAAGTGCATTTTTTGACTGAAAAATCCATCGTCTCATAAGTTAGGATGTTAACAAAAGATTTGGAGTAAATAGAATATTTGAGAATGGATACCTTTCCCAACAAAATCAATGGTAATGGAGTTCCTGGAGCATTAGGACTAATGAGGGCGTGAAGATCATTAATAAACTGTAGAAAAAAAATTAGAGTTATAGAAAGTCAGCAAAGTCCATCCATGTGTTGTAACTATGCTATTAAAAGATTTCCAAAGTGATCGGTATGAGCCTGCTACGAAACCTAAATCCAGTACCAAGGAAAAAGGAACTAAAAATTAAAATTGGAAACTCATGGGCAAGTGCTGATCAATGCCTTACGAACAGGAAACTTATTACACCCAAAATAAAAAGCCCATGGTATTGCTTATGCTGACCTTGAACAATCGGAAAACTTTACGTGCTAGGCTAGTAGATTTGTCAACATTTTGTGCAGTACCAGGCTCTCCATTGCTCAAGAACTTTGAACCGTACTGTATTGCTCTGCATATCTTATCCCTTGCTTCGGCCTTGTTCAGGTACAGGACAGCAAGAGCAAGCTCTGTTCTGGCAACATCCAACGAACTCATGTTTTATTTGATGAACCTGAAAAGTAAATATGCCAGACTTCATTGACTGTGCTCAAAATTGAGTTGAGGTCTAGACCATAATAACATTACTCATGTTTCGTTTGTAAGATATTTCGAGCTTGATGTACTCAAGTTTGCAGGAAAAATGTAGAAGCAAAAATAAGCCAATCAAATCAACTTGAATGGCAATTGATTTGAGTTGTGAAATAGTCATATCCTCTTGTTTTTGTTTAAAGAATTTGTAGATTTCTTTTGTTGACAATATTGTAAAATAATAGTCGAGAGGTTTGATGTTCAACTGAATTATAGTAGACAATCTTTGGAGAGCTTACAGTTACACAACTACCTTTGGGTGGACTGAATCTTACCCATTGTGCCTTCTTATATTACATAGGGTATCACATGATTTACTACGAACCACCAAGAATCCCCAATACTCGTGCATTGTCTAATTCCCAATTGCAATTTTACTACAAAACCATAAACTAACCAAATAATTCTCCACTTCAAAACATATAAGTAATCTATAAACCAGCAAAATGAATGGTGTGCATTTTTGTGTGTTTTACTTTGCAATTTTTATTATTAAATCTTTTATTTTCCATCCATAAACATCCTAACATTCATTTTTCATATAAACCAATATATCAAACGATAGGTCCATTTTAGTATCCACATATATATAACGATATTTTTTATTTTTGTAATCTAAAGTACTTTTTTCGTCCCAAATGAAGGTATCATTTTACCATTTTTGTCTGTCCTACTCAAGAGTATCATTTCCCATAATAGTAAAAAAAATCACACATTAATACTAAAATATTATTTACTTTTATATAAATTACAAGCATAGTATTACACATATACATAAAGTATAAAAGGCAAAAATACCAAAATCATAGTACCCACTTACACTATCGAATAAAATACTATTATTTCTTATCCTACTAAAAAAATCCAAATAGACAATTTCTTCTGACGGAGGGAGTAGATAACAATAGGTTAACTTCAACCCATAACCTCCCAAGTTTCGCAATAAGGCCCGACAGTAAAATGTCACCCGAAACTTCACCCTTTCCTATTAATAAACATGCACAATGATCATTATCCAATCTAAACACTATAGACCTTAGAGAACTAAAAACTGATTTATTGCTGCAAACAACTTCTCCTGGATCGTCTAAAGGTATCATATTGCCACCAAATTTACTCGAGCACATGTGTTCTATCATTCCTAACAACCCAAAAGCAGGGAATGATTTTCAAAACCAAACATGCTAGAATAGAAGAACTTCCAAACCTGCCACCGAACAAAGCTAAAAAGCAATTCCAAAAGAGAGAATCATCCATGTTCAGTCACATAAGTAAAGATAAAGGGTAAGATGTTCTGCAATTACATTAAACAGACATCTACAAGCAACTTTCAGTCACTGCAATTCCATTGAAACTCCATCCACCAAATCCGGTACATAGAAAAAAACACTCAATTGCATCATTTAATCCATAATTCCGTTTTTCTCGAAACCCCCCAATAATCGAAGCAAAAAAAAAAAACTATCTATAACGATGGATCTTCAACACATCAAATCAAACCGTAACGAATTAGGGGAAACAAAATTGAATCGCAGCAATCGATTAACGACCGCATCAGTAACTTAAAATATTGAATTGAGCCACGCGGAAGTAAGACCTAATCTACAACGTAACGAACCACAAGAGAAACCAGTTCAGAAACACAAATCACCTAATCTACAACGTAACGAAGCACAAGAGAAACCAGTTCAGAAACACAAATCAAACAAACGAATCGCGAAAAAGGAGTCGCCATGAATTCAATCGTACCTGAATTGGAAGAGCAACGAAAATCCTGATAAACGCAAAAGATAGGGTTCACTGAAAAAGCCCTCCTCCTTCCAATTCCCAACCCCCAGTGGATATCTATATATATCGCAAATCAGTACGCAACTAATACCGGGGTTCGAGCCGAGGCCTTATGCCTCGAAATTCACATCCGCAGTTTATGGAAAGTTGATTTTCTTGGCTTCACCTGCTCGTCTGCAGATAAACACCAGCCTGGCGGCGGCTGGTCGAGTGTGTTTGGTCTTAATTTTTAAGGATAATGGTTGGCGTGGATTTTTATTTTTTTTATATAATATACAAATTTAAAACTAATAAAAGCTTAAACACAAATAATTATTTAATAGAGGTTTAATATAATATTTTAATAATACTTTATTTTAATTTTTTCATAAAATTATTAGTTTGTGTATTTTTTTACCATATACTTTTATTTTAGATTTTTTTTCTAAAAAAAAAAATATCACATTTAATTGTTGATAATTTTTTCAACAATACACAGTAAAGTTTGAAAATATTATGAAACTTGAATAATTAACTTATATGTAGAACAAAACAATAAAGACATGAAAATAAAGGGGGGACTCCGAATAGGAAATTCTTAATTAATTGAAGATGCCCACGTTGCTGAACCCTGTATGTTTAAATAACTCCTAAAAAACCGTCTCGAAACATCACATGGTCGGTTACCACAACTGTCACCAACTGACCCAAGCGTTAATCTCCTACCGACACGTGCCTTAACCGTCCCACCAACCGTTCTTGTCAGTTATCGAACTCAACCACTCAACCGACCACTCCCGTCGGTTATCTTCCACAACCGTCCTGTCTTCTCAAAATGGGCGGCTAACCAACCGACTGCCTTGCCTCTGAACCGTCCGCCCAGAAAATCCTTGGCCAACCGATGGATCCACTGACGGGCCCACTTTCCCTCTTATTTTGGGCTACCACCCTAATTATAAATTTTTATACTCAACAACTTGCCTCGCCGCAGCCTGACTTCCAAACGTCACTCCTCAATCGTCGTATGACAAGACGTTTGGGAGTCTGCAGTCTATGTAACAGTGCTGGCCTAACTCTGTCTCCGGTCACATCAATGGGGTTTTAAATACCCCATTCCAAAATCATTACCCCCATTCCCCTTAAAAACCTTTTTTATCAATATTGTACATCTTACACATCCACTATCTCGAACAATTTCCAGAGAAAAAACCTCTCGTCTTCTTCTCAATTGCTACCACCTCCTTCTTGTAATTCCAAAACCATGGCGAACCAATACGTACCCGCATTTCCTTTTGATGGAACCGACCCAGAGGTTCCTTTTGTTGCATCGAAGGTACTGACCCCAACCGTTCGGCAATATTGCACTACTCCTGAGGATTCCAATCGGATGAGGGAGGCACTAGAAGTAGGAACCTCCCCTCGCCATCAACAAACCCACCTACAATGTTGTTTGTATAAACGACAACATCAAAACCCACCTGACCGACCTCATGGACCCTTACCGAACATGGTACAATAGGGTGGCGGAGCGCTTTCAAGAGCTGTGGAAACGCCAACATATCGATCAGGCCATATTCCTTTCTACTATTCCGTTTCATATGCACGAAAAGGTGCTTTTGGCTATGGCGGCCTTCTGGCACTCAGAGATTGGAGCCTTTTTCCTGCCATCGGGCCCTATTGGCCCAACCCTCATGAATGTGGCTATGATTGCCCATCTACCCATCGTGGGTGAGGACCCAGTGATGGGCGTCCTGGACGGGCAGAAGCCAGTAGCGGACCACCTGGGTTGGTCACTGGCCGGAGTTAAAGAATGGGGCTGGACGAAGTTCGCAACCAACCAGCAAGGGGCAGCAAGGACCCCAGTGACCGACCGTGAGCATGTCGCCTTCCTCCTCTTATGGCTATGTAGGTATATCATAGTCTCCCCCTCCAAATGTGTCATTTCCTCACATCTTGATTTAGCTATCCATTTAGCCTTAGGTCGTTTCTTTTCTCTTGGCACTCTTTTCCTTGCCGACATTTTTTAAGGTCTTTCCAGGGTTAGCACCCCCCTTGTAGATAGTGATAGTAAAAAACTAGATACCGCCGCGTCGGGCCCTTTTTGGTTCCTGGAACTTTGGTTCCGTCTTTACTTTCCTGACGAGTTTCAATTCGGTTGTCTGCCCATAAATCCAACACCCGATCATTCTTTGGGATTAGCCCTTAATAGATTTTGTCCATGTCATGGCCACCTCTAGTCGTCCGACCCCATCATTTCTGCAATCCTAGCCGACGACCGCAGCATCTCCCGTTTTTATGTATATAGGAAGTTTGCTTGCTATACGGTTGGTCTCTTCTGGCTTTTCCCCGTTCCCTCGCCCATGGCCAATCCTAATCCTCTTCTTCATCCGACCTACCACTTCTCCTGGGATTCTGCTCTCAAACCCAGGTCTTTATTTTTTAGTAAAAAATTTGATAAAAAAGACCAAAAATCATTTTATACTTCTAGTTATCAGCCCCGATTTTTGGCACGCCAATTCAGCTGCCGCCAAGGTTTACCTGGCCCTTTCGCCCATCCCTACCTTATTCCTCAAAGTCCGGACGGGCAGGTCATTCCTGAACTCATTCCTTCTTACCTCACCCAACTTGCCACTTATATAATTTCCAACTCTTACATCCCTTTCCATACTTCCTCCGAAACCGTAGAGACCTTCTGTGACTGGTGGTCGGTCATGTGGCCCTCCTTGCCCCTGCGAAGGATCGGCTGTTGGGTATTCTCCTGCCCCAGCCTGCCTTGGTGTTGGGGGCGGCCTGACTCATAAGCGCCCGAAAAAAGACAGCCGGCCCGGGTGCCGGATCAAGCGCCCCAAAGAGGAAGAAAAAAGCTTCCCAGGCCCAGGCAGTCCCGACCTCAGGTGCAGACCAACAAGTCGTCAAGGACTACCTGATTTCTCTCCCTTTGGATATGGCTTGGATGCCAGCAAGGATCCGGCCTCGCCTAGGTACGCGCCAAAAGTCTTTAATCACCTTGATGTTCCTTAACTCTCAAACTTACATTATTCCTCGTGTCAGATCCGACACCGGCAGCACCAACCGATCAGCCGACCCCAGCCCCGACCGACCAACTAAACCTTCAACCTGATCAGCCCCAAGTAATTGACTTATATCACCATTTTCTCTCATATTCACAACTCCTCATATATTGACTTATGTTATTCCATCATAGGTTCCTCCCGTCCAAGTCCAACCACCAACGCCTGTATTGCCGATGATCAGTCGGGAGGAGGACCCGACTATGAGGCAATCCCTTCCTTCTTTGCTAGTGAGTGGTCGGGAAGGAGACTCGACCATGAGGCAATCTCTGCCGATACCCCCAAGGGACCCAGTAAGTTTTTCAAACACCCATTACTTAGAACTTTACACACCATACTTAGAATAGATATCTGATATATTCATTGCAGACGCCACCACCAACCGAACCGGAGGCGGCAACAGCTCCAACAGATATCGAGCGGCTGCTCAATCGACGGTCGTATTGCCAACGGAAGTCGTTGATCCTTCTCACCCACTTGAGGAGCCCGCCGCCCCTGCTGCAGCCGCCCCTGCTACAGCCATTCCACCGCCGGAGGCGGCAGGGCACGCAGCAGAACCGCCTGCTGCCGTCCATCCGGAAGGTCCCCCACTCGATGTAGAAGAACTTTCTTCTTCCGAGTCGGAAGCCTCTGTTAACCAGGATCCGGAGGAGTTGGGAAGATCTTCAAACCTTCCTTTCACGCACATATATAGATTCAGTCAGGTACTAAATACTCTATACTTTAATTTCAGGGCCCGGATCAGCACCGATTTCTGATTTATGATCCAGCCACCATCTTCGGGAGCTTTCCCGGGTCGGCGTGTAGGTTATTGCGTAATGACCACCTGATCTACTGAAGTTACACGCAAGGACCACTGCTGGCGGGTGAAGAGTCGGTAGTCAAAGTACCAGCCGCCCGACCTCCCCGACCGATGGCAACCCTAGCGCCCTCTGTGTCCACGGTCCGCCATGAAGTAAGTAAAATCTCACAAGTAACTCTTACCATTCATTCTATCCACCATACTTAGAAATTTGAACTTCTTCTAGGGCTGTCTTGACCTACCTCCGTTGTCGGCCGTTCTGATTCCGACGGACATCCGAGCCACCTTCGCTCAGGCCGTCAACAGCCCCTTTTCAGACTTAGGACTAGATTCCTTTGAAGGTCTCATTCAGGCGGTTAGTGGCTTATTGTTTCAGCCTTCTTCGGAATCGACGGACGCCCCAATTCTGCATCGGCTGATAGAGAGGCTAACTGAGCTCCAAAACGACATTCTACTCGCCCGACTCCTATTAGCCGAACTGTCCCAGCCGAGCTCCGATCAAACGAATCTGGAGGGAGGTGCTTCGTCGGGAGCAGTCCGTTCTGGTGGGCCACATAACCGACGAACAACGTCTGATTGAAAGATATCAGAAGAACGAGGCCGACTTGGATCAAGAATTGAAGATTCAAGCCCGGTCTCAATTTATTAAATGATATCAGACCGCTACCAACAACCGACGCCTATCCAGGGCCGAAGAAAAATGGTCCCAGATAAAAATCGCCCTGGGGGCCCTTATGTAGATCTCGATGTAAATTTTTGACTTAGTAAAAAAAAATTGTTTCCTATTAACAAAGATCACTTCCAATATTCCGAACCCCCAGAAGCCAAATTAACCTCACTTCCCCTTATAAAAACTATCACCTCCTGTGATAAAACAAACAACCTCAAAAAATCTGAAATTGGAACATACCTGAGGTATTAATAAAATGCCACAACATCGACCCCATGTTCCTTTGAATAACTGGGAAAATGCCATTCAACCTTTCTTCGTGGGTAACCATCCTGTCGGTGGTTATGCCGAAGACTTGATACATGTACTCAAACAACTGGATTTCAAATTCAGGTTTTCCCAACGAGGGAGAAGAACCATTCATCGCGTTATTCGTCTGATAGAACATGTCCTGGATGGATACGAGACTCTTCATTTCATCTTAAGCCGCCTCCCTGATATTGATTATCATATGGACTTAATTGAACATCATGTGATGGCCATACTTCCGGATCTCGGATAGGATCACATATTTTCCAACCAACGAACAGTTTTTCCAGACTACGCACTCTCGTTGACCGCGAATGCCAGACAATAACAAATATGAAAGCTCGTACCAATCATGATTTAGAAGAAATGCAGAGTCAA